TACAGGGGGGGTCTGATAGCCCCTTCTTGCATGCTTTAGTTTTAAGCTCCTAGAAGAATGATGAAAGTGAAGTAGATCAGCTCTTGTAGGAAATAAAGCCCAACTTCAAACCATTTTAATTCGTGAAACTGAACTAAGGTTGTTAGGATTTACTAGTGCCACTAGCTCCCCTAGAAGCAATCGTCTGGTTTGCAATCAAACAAGAGGCGACACATAAGGAAACAAGACACCATGAAAGAAAAACAGGCAATTGAAATAGACCAAAAAGGACTCTAGATAATGGATTTATTAGACACAGGCTTTGAAATGATTGTATGTAATATTAATGTGTCCAAGGAGATTAAAAACAAAATTGAGAATTTAAGCAGAAAACTGGTACCTATTAGGAATTAACCAAATTGAAATTTTAGAACTGAGAAAGTACAATAATAAAAATTAAAAATACAATGGATGAGTTTAGTAGCAGATTACACATAACTGAAGAGAATTAAGTGAGCTGAATTGTAGATTAGAAGTAAATATCCAGAATGAAGCATGGAGAATTAGAAGGATGAAAAATAAAGTATAGTAAGAGATATAAGAGATACAATGAGAGGCCTAAAATTATCAACAAATTGTAATCACAAAGCAAGAAAGAGAATAGAACAGTAGCAATATTTGAAAATACAATGGCCAAGAATTTTCCAAAAGTGATGAAAGACATTAAGGCACAGAATCAGTAAGTCTGATGAACCTTGAGCAGGATACCTGCCACATCATACCTGGGTACGTCATAATAAAACCATTGCAAACCAGAGCTAGAGAAGAGAATTGTAAAAAAAAAAAAGGGGGGGCCGGGGGTGAGGGACAGGAAGATAAAGATTACCTTCAAAGATGCAACAGTAAGTCTAACAGCTGAGTTTTCAAGAGAGAGGAGAGGAAACAAAAGCAAAGCCAAAAGATTATGGCGTGATGTCTTTTAAAGGCTGAGAGATAACTACAAGCCTAAAATGTTATACCCAGCAAAAGTATCCTTCAAAAATAAAAAATTTTAACGTAAGTGAGATTGTTCATTATCTGCACTAAAAAATACTAACTGGTATTCTCTAGGCAAAAAGAAAATGATCCCATTGGAATAATCAGATAATAGAAATGAAGGAAGAGCAAAAGAAATGTAACTATGTAGATAAATTAATGTTAACTTTGTAAAACAATATGAGATATAAAAATCTGTGAAATTAAAATCCAGAACAAAGTATTTTCTCTAGTGCGGAATGAAGTTAAACATTTGTAAGGCTTTTTTTCTGTTGTCAAGAAGTGGGTAAAAATATCAATTAGTTTTAGACTTTAATAAATTAAAGATAGATGTTGCAATCTTTATGGTAACCACCAGAAGAAAGTAAATGTTAATGGAGTGGAGAAAGTGGAAATTTAATTAAAAAAAAAATCCTAAATAAATAAAGAAAGAAAAGGACAAATGTTTCTATTTGTGTAAGATGGTAGATTTAAACAAACATATCAGTAGTTACGTTAAATGGATTAAAGGTTTTGCTTAAAAGACCAAGATTGTTAGGTTGGATTTTAAAAATGACAACTATATACTATTATAGAGGCAGACATCAAAAAAATAAAGATAATGTAGAAACATTCAGGGTAAAAGAATAGAACAAAATATACTTGACCTATAATAACTATCAGGTAAATTACACTACAAGGCAAAAAGCATATTTGAAAATCATTAAATCACCACATCAATAGGAAAAAAAATGTGTGATTTCAGTAGGTACAGAAAAAGGATTTGATAAAAATTTGTCACTAGTCATGATAAAAACCCCTTAAAATTCCCAAACTAGTAACAGAAGTGAACTTCTTTAATCTGATAACAGGTATCTACAAAACAAAATTAAGCCTCACAGTAAATATCCATATTTAGTAATAACTTTGAAAGCTTTCCCTTTGAGACCTGCAATATGTCAATTAACAGTACTTCTATTCAGTGTCATTTTGGATGTCTTAGCAAGAGTAAGGAGGCAACAGAAAGAAATAATATTTGTATGGAATGGAAAAGAATTAAAACTTATTATTTGCACTCTACATGAATGCATATAGTGAAAATCCAAAACAATTACAGATAAAGAATCAGAATCAATAAGTGTTTGGCATGGTTGATGATTTTAAGGCAAATATATATATAAGAAAAATCAATTGTTATTTTTATGTGTCAGTTTTCTAACAAGTTAGAAAATTAAAAAATTTAAAATACCACTTGAAATGCAGCCAAAAAATATCAAATATAGGAAACTCTTTAAAGAAAATCTAAAACGTTGAGAGAAATTAAAGACCTAAGTGAATGGAGAAATACCTCATGTTCATGGGTAGATGGCTCACTATTATAAAATGTTGGTTCTCTATAAATTAATTTATAGATTTGGGAGTGCAATGAATCTATAGTGTGTATTTTATTTTATTTT